CAGTGCTTCCTTTAAAGTCCGACCAGCATCTCTCCAGCCTCTCTCTCTTTATATATATATACATATATATATGTATATATATATATACATATATATGACTCAGAGCTCAGAGGAAAATATAAGATCATTGTTAGAGTTTTATAGTTTAAACTCTGACAGGCTGAGTGGAACAGTTTCACAGGAAGCACTGCTGATGTTTATTATTCACCACAGTTTGTCATGTATAATGCATCTTGTTCTCATATACTGTGTTATGAATAGGGGATGCTCACTGTTCAGAAAATGAGATTTTAAAGTTAGATATCCTCCTAGTGAAGAGACATTCCCACGTCCTACTTCCTGTCCGAGACCTATCTGACTGGTGCTGACTGGGGGAGAAAGAAAAATTTGTTTTACAAGGAACTGTCCAGATGATCATCCCAATTTTTGGTCATAAGGAACAAGGAAGAATTCTTATTTGTCGAAACAGAGGTCATTGTTTATTTTTTCAGAGTCTGAGGAAAGAGCCAGGTGCATATAAATGGAATCCAAGTCTTTAAGACATCAAGAAGGCACTTTTCAGATCCTTTCTTCTGCAGCCCAGCTGTTCAAGATAACAGTCATTTTCACTTTAACAAAGTTTTCTTAATCTTAAAAAAAGGTTAGGGGTTTGGAGAGATGGTTTAGCAGCAAACACAGTGCTGCTCTCTCAGAGGACCCCAGTTCAGTTTCCAGCACCCACATTGGGCAGCTCACAACCACCTGTAACTTCAGCTCCAGGGGACCCAATGCTGTCCTCAGGCCTCCAAGGACACACACACACACACACACACACACACACACGCAGACACATAGGTGGTATACACTCACACAGATGCACACACATACACATAAATAAAAGTAAATCTTTTTGAGAAAGTTAAATAAAGCTAGGTATAGTGGTGAATGCCTTTAATCCCAGCACTTGGGAGGCAGAGACAGGCAGATCTCTGTGAGATCAAAGTCAGCCTGGGATGGTCTACATAGTGAATTCCAGGGCCAGCTGGGGCTATATAGTGAGACCCAGTCTCAAAACACAAAACAAAAGAAAAAAGATAAGTCCACAAGAAAGAGGATTAAAATTAGTAATAGTGAAGGGGCACACAAGGTTGTCAAGAGGCGAGAGGGGAAAGGAAATTACAAATTTGAGACCATAGAAAAGAAGGGAGGGGTGAATAAGAGAGAGAAACAGGGGTGGGATAAAGACAGGAGATGTGGGAAGAAGCACTGGATAGAAACACTGTCACAGACAGCGCGTCCTCTGGAGGCGTCATCACCAAGACAGGCTCTGCACGTCCTGCCTGACTCCCTGCTCTCTGCTCTCTGATGATTCAACAGGCAGACAGTGCCCTGGGGCATACCACAGTGCTGCCTTTACAGCAGGGAAACTAGCTTCTGTAGTTGCTTGGGCTTTGAGGGGTCATTAAATTCCCATGACCAACCTTCATGCCATTTGTGAGTGCTTCATGGCCGTGTCACCACTGGAAATTCCGAACATGTATTTGGGTTCCTTCCCATATTTCTCCAGAATCAAGTGGTCATGTTGTCTGTTCACAAAGGCTGTGTTTGGCTAGGAAGCCCCAGCTGAGGCTTCCTGATTAAAGTATAAGCAACGCTAGCTACTATAAAGACTATCAGAACATGTGCACTCTGAATTTCCTGTTTTGTGTACTGAACTGGAACTTTTAAAAGATTTATTTTATTTTATTATTATTAATTAATTATTTGTGTGTGTGTGTGTGTGTGTGTGTGTGTGTGTGTGTGTGTGTGTGTGTGTGTGTGTGTGTGTGTGTGTGTGTGTGTGCAGTGAAAAAAAATATATATATATATATATATATATATATATATGTATTCTCTCTCTTATATATATATATATATATATATATATATATATATATATATGCATGCAAATAATTCACTTAATAAATACCCTCACTTTTATAACTATATATAATTTATATATAGTTATACATACATAAATGTAAATTCATATGTAGTAAAGCAAAGGTACTTGTTAAGTGAATTATTTGCATTTTAAATCAAGTATCAGTCTGTTTCCTAATTAATGGATACTACTCTTTTTGAAAATAGAAGTATCAGGCTGGAGAGATGGCTCAGAGTTAAAGAGCACTGGCTGCTCTTGCGAAGGACCCAGGTTCAAATCCCAGCACCCACAGGGTGACTAACAACTGTCTCTAACTCCAGCTCCATGGAATCCACTGCCCTCTTCTGTCCTCTGCAGGCACTGCATGACACAGGTGCATTTACATGTATACTGACAATACACGCATACACATAAATAAAAATAAATAAAATTCAAAAGAAAAATTAGGAAAGATAGTGAAAGGCTTTGAAATGGAAACAAATCAGGGATTATTCTGTCAACAGAATGTTGAGTAGTGTCTGGCAAACCTTTTTTTAAATGAGGGCACAAATTTATAGGGGCCTATACCATTGATCATCTTTGATGAGCTTCTTTATATTCTAAAACATATAGAAGCTAAAAGTAATGTAAATTATTCTTGCCCTGGAAATGGGAACTAATTTTGTTTTGTGGAGGTATAACTGACTTTCTCTCTCTACAAATGGGTATTCCAAACATTATATTTTTGTTATATTTATTTGTTTTGGTGGGGGCGGGGGGCGTGTTGCCGTGGCATGTATGTGGAGGTCAGAGGACTGATCCCAGAGTCAGTTCTCTCCTTCTGTCATGTGAATTTCAGGTACTGAACTCCAATCAGCAGGCTTGCCTGCAAATTCCTGTATCCACTGATCCATCATGCCAGCCCACCAAAACATTATGTTTTGGTGTACTATAAGGTATTATCCAGTTGTGGAGCTGGAGAGATGGCTCAGTGGTTAAAAGCACTGGCTATTCTTGCAGAAGACCTGTGTTTGAATCCCAGCACCCACACAGTGACTGACAACCATCCATAACTCCAGTTCCAGGGGGTTTGGCACTATCTTCTGTACTCCATGGGCACTGCACAATATGGGCACTTATACACATGCAGGAATAGCACTCATATCATAAAACTAAAAATAAAAATTTAAAAATATATAGAGATCATATCCAATTGTACATTTATTAGTGAGTGGAGTTCAGCCTTCCTGATTGTCTATATATAAATATGTCTGTGCTTCAGATTTCCCTTGGAACAAATTTTAACATCTTACCTCCCCTGTCATTAATTCACAAGTTAAGGGAAATCTCTGTCACATGTTTATTTCATATTTATGTGAAAATTATGATTTTTCCATTCTGAAAAGGATCTTTGGACCAAAATTGCAAGCATCAAGTTGCTTTAGGGATTTGGGATGGCAGAACTGTTTTCCTTTAAGGTTTTGAGTGTTTTAGATGTTCCCTGAGTATAAAATACAAACAAGGAACAAAGCACGTTGATTAACAGAGCAGATGACGGGAGGGAGGACAAGTCACTCATCTGCCCCATGACAAAGAATCAAAGCAACAGGGGTGTGGCAGCATCCTGAGGTCAGTGATTGTGGGGAAACACTGGGGCTCATGAGACAGAACTATAACTTTCTAAGAGTCAGAGACCTGGGATCACAGCAGTGAGAGAAAAGTACATAATCTAGCATCTGCCACTCTGGCCCCATACCTTAGAGAGGAGGTATCTGCTGCACTGGGGTGTAAAGAGAGAGACTCCCAGAAAACCCTACTGCCCCACCCATGGAAATATTGGCTGTGCCAGCCACTAGACAGTATCTGATCCTCACAGGCCTACAACCCATTTGATAAGTGACCTGAATCTGCACAGTTGTTCTGCATTGGAAAGGGTCCTCATGTGATCTTCTGGTGACCCCTCATGATGGTATGACAAGGACCTATCTTGAGGAAAAAAAGAGAGAGACTGGATGGCCACAATGATGAATTTCTCTGACTGTTTCTTTTCTTGCTTGTCCTGTTTTGCGAGCTGAAAATTGGACCCAAGGCTGTGGGCATTCCAGTACCAACTATACCACAGAGCCATAGCTCAAACTTTCACTGATAAATTTTGCCAAACTCTTAAAGATCCAATGACATTTTCTCAAAGTATTCCATAAAGCAGAAACAAAGGAAATCTTTCCAAATTCATTCTGAGATCAGTATCGTCCTGTTACTAAAGCTAGGTAAAGACAGAAAAACAAACCATGATGAACATCAGGGCAGAATTCTCTAGAAAATACTTACAAATTAAATAGTGCACCAAAAATATCTTTTTCTCATGATCAAGTTCCTGTCTTCCTAGGCATGTAAGGATGATTAGACATAATGAAAAATCAATAAATATAATACATTGTACCAACAAAACGATGGATAAAGATCAGTAGCTGTAAAAGAATCACTCAATAAAATTCAGAATCAAAGGGCTGGGAGATGAGTTGGTAAGGACCTGAGTTCAGATCCCAGCACCCATGCAAAAAGTTGGCATGTGTTTGTAATCCCAACAGTGTGAGGCAGAGACAGGAGGATCCTGGGGGCTTGCTGGTCAGCCAGTCTAGCCAATTAGTGAACTCCAGATTCACCAAGAGACCCTGTCCTAAAGAACTAAGGTGGAAAGAGACAGAGTAAGACACCAATGTTGACCTGTGGCCTCTATGTGAGCACACATGGATGGTCACAATTGCACATGCACATATACATACTCACACAGATTCAGCACTACTTTATGACTAAATCCATGAAATAAATGTAGAAGGAAGGTATCTTAACATAAGAAAGGCTATATGTGACAGATCCCTAGTCAACATACTATGAATAAGGAAAAGCTACAAGCATTTCTTCTAAGTTCAGTAATGAAACAGAGATGCCCTCTCTTCCACCTTTATTCAGTGTGGTATTAGATGTTTTAGCCAGGGCAGTTGAGCAAGAGAACAAGATCAACTAATACAAACAGGGAGGAAGTCAGGTTAGTTAGCCCTGCTTATAGGTGATGTGATTTTATTCATATAAAAACCATCACAGTTTCCATCAAAAGATTACAAATGCAGTAAAGTAGCAGGATAGTTTCTACATGTTGATAGAGAATTTACTGAGAAAGAAACCATGAAAGTAATCCCATTTATAATAGCTACAAAAAAATTAAGTACCAAGAATAGACCTAATCAAGAAAAGCCATCTAGAATAGAAATTGCAACATACTAGCAAAAAGAAATTTCAAACCCCAAACGGTAGAAATACCACCCATGTATTTTGGATTGGAGGAGGAGATATTGTGAGAAAGTCCACCCTCAAAGTGGTACATAGATTTAATGCAATCCTTGTGAAAGGACCGTGACAATCTGGACACAGAACTAGATAAAAATCCCCAAATTCATATATAAGTACAAAAGACCCTAAGTAACCATAGCAACCATGAAGAAAAGGAACAGACCTGAAGGCATCAAGATATCTAC